CTACTACTACTGTTACTACTGTTACTACTGTTACTACTGTTTCTACTGCTACTACTACTGCTACTGTTACTACTGTTACTACTGTTACTACTGCTGCTACTACTACTACTACTACTACGACGACGACGACTACTGTTACTACACTCCTGCCTGCTACCTAGTACCACATGCCTAGTACCTACTACCAACTACTAGCTACCTACTACCTACTGCCTACAACCTACTCCAAGTAGTGCGAGCCGAGTGGTACCAAAGCAATATAAGCACAAGCAGAAGCGTGGCGGCGGCGACAGCGCTCGTCATCACAAAACAACAACAGCAGCAGGAAGTGCAAACACAGCCACGAATCTGGTTACACGCTCTTGAACTTACCAACAGAAGATACTATGATAACGAGGGCAACACTCCGGATAGTAGCGGCATGAAGCGGCATAATTGGCTGCAGCCTGCTGCTACTGGCATATAATGTAAGGCCCTTAATAGTTAGAATTGGGTTTTAGGCTGCTTTATGATATAGCTATAGCAAGGAACCCTTAAGAACAATATCAGTAATTATTTAGGCTTCTATATTAAGCACATCCAGAACATCCAGCCTCTAGTCTAGTGGCCCGACATGAGGACGGCCGTGGTGGCGGACGCGCAGACAGTGCTCTGCTGCTCGTCGGTCTCCAAGCCTGAAAACTGGACCTTTGCCGGGTTTAGGGTTAAGGGTTTAGGGTGTAGACTTTCCTATACCACGGATTTGGGTGTAGGCTTTGGGTTGGGACTGATTTGGGTTGACGGGCCGTAAACAAGAGGCTTGACTGGTGCTAGCAGATGTGTGACTTGTTGATGAAAGGGCTCAGGATGAGTTTTCCTCCCATGTAACCGGAGAAAAACAAGAAGTCTGAAAGCATCTAGGCTCTAAGCATAGAGCCTTGATGATTCCTGTGTTCGCAGCATGGAACTTCTTCCTCCATATCCTGGCAGAACAACGAATACTCTCAGCACAAACCTAGTCCTGAAGATTCGGCTGCAACTGCGCTCATCAACATAAGATCGGACATGAAGAGCAAAAGCCGAAGATCGGCGAGAACATCGAGGCATCATCTCGAACATCTCTCCCTTGCAGAAACTGGCGTCCTCGTCGCCCCTGCTTGGTCTTGACCCGCGAACTTTAGGAACGTAGCCTGCAGTCACAAGGCGCTGTGCCCCTTGGGGCGAACACGCGAGATGAGATCCAAAAGTTGATATAGGGGCCTTCATAACTACCTGCACTACTTGGCGGATTCCTCCTTGTAACTATAGTACAATATACCTCTGCTTCCGTGTACTGAGCTTTGTACTGGGCATTGGGACGGTCCAGGCGTCAAAAGCAGCAACCAAACACACTCCGAAGCCCTCTAAGGCTTTAGGGGTTACCAAACCTCCGAAGCACAATCCTTAAGCCTAAACCTGGCCTTGCTTATCTGCAACAGCTCGCACACCGTGGCCGTTTGGATCGTCAACGGCGATCTGTACCTCTGTGCCCCAGTATCCCTTTTGCAATAATGGGCACCTTTCTTGCTACTTGTCGGTTTCAAGAAGGCAACCCCAAAATGAAAACGGCAAAAGGATGCTACTTGGGGACCTAGATACGGCTCAGGCGTGGTCAATGTCTCCCGATCAACGATCGTCGGCGCCTCAGCTCGACCTGTGCACTGGGCTGCACGGGAGCATCTAGTCGGAGGCTTCAAGAAAACAGGTGTACGATATTTATGGGCCAATTTCTCATATGAGACTAGGGTCTCCAATGGTCTGAAACTGCCACGCCTGGCGCCGCTGCTGTCGCTGTCGTCTCGTGGTGGTGTTGGTGGCGGTGGTTGTGCTTGTGGCTGTTGCTGTGATTGTTGCTGTCGTCTTTATCTCGGTTAGCGCTGGTGTTGGTAGTGTTGGTTGCGGTCTCGGCCAACCAAATCAAAAATGCAGCTCAACTCCGGAGACCAATGCGCAATTCCGCGCCTGCTCCTTCTGCGGTCATGATTCTGTCGCCGTTCTCCTGGGATCAACTCTGTCACTCAAGGAACATACAGGTCCTCAACCTCCGAGAAAGCAGGTGTCGCTATGCAACCCAATGTCTGTACAAACGACGCCAGCCCCCTAAGCGAACTGGAAGAAGGAAACAACGGCGTCAACCTCCCACCATTTTTGGCTAGCTCACGGACAGCCTCGAGCCGAGCCGAACTTGCTGCTCGGGTGCATCCAGAAGCTGTAGCCGACCAGAACACTTGATCCACGCATACTCGGCGACCTTTTCGGGCTTGTGGAGGCTTTGTAGACATCGCAATTGAGTCGGGGCGATCGTTCAGTGCATTCAGCGTAACTCGTAATGCTATGGCGATGAGTGTTTCAGTTAGTTCCAAATCTTTTTTGTATACACAACCTAAACCTAAACGTTCGCACGACATGCGATAGGGATGCTGTGCGTACTTGCTCATAATGGATGATCTCACCCTAGCATATTGGATCCACTGACCCCGGCTTATCTCTAGAAGGCCATGGCATCTGATCGGGAGATCAGCTTTGAAGTTAGGGGCGGAAGCTCCAGCTCTCTAGAAGCCCAGGGCGCGAAAAAGAGCTCAACTCGAACCTCTGCAGCGCCCTCCCGGTTGCCTCCACCGCAACCCCCCAGCCCTGCAAGCAACAGACTCTGAAAGCCCTCAGAAGAGGCCCCCAAATGCTCACACCCGGCAATTGCCAGCCTGCCCCATGGTGCAAATCACCACGCCGGGCATGTGGTCCTGTAGGTGGGATGCCGCACCTCAAAGCATGCTTCGGTATTTATGCTGGGCTCTGGCGGTTTTGTGCTACAACATGCAGATCAACTTTAGGCTTCAACACAGTTCCGTCATATGAAGCATCAGCCGGCCCTGGCAATGGCATGGCCGCATGATTTCAGTTCGAACCCTGCAGCGTTTACGTATTGCAGGCAAGGCGCATATTTCCTGGATGGCACCCTTACCTAAGTCCTTGATTATGTCGAGGTTTTGCAAGTGGAAAGAAATCAGCATGTTCTGGACCTCGTTCTTCAGCACCTGTCAGGTCAACGGGAGGATGGGAGGCTGTTAGACGTTAGGTGCAGCGGGGCTTGTCGACAGCCAATGTGACGAAGACTGCGCGAATCGAAATTGGTAGCAGAACCCGCATCACCGACCATGTTTGAACATATTTGAGGGTAGCCTACCATTACTAGCAAGCAAGACATGCACAATCGCCAGCATGTCCTTGCAATACATTAGAGGGATGATCAAAACAACATGAATCACGAAGAACGACTGTTGCGAGAGTGATACTCGTTTCCATACTTATGAGCTATATCTACGCAAGCATGGGAGAAATCGACATGGAGCGAGCTGTTCAGATGTACACAGGTACAGTGGAGTGGAGGATTGTGCAGGGGTAGACGGCTCCTCGAGCGGGTCTTCACTGGAGCGGTATAGCGACAACTGGCGACCCAAAGCAACAATGCTTCTGAGGAGCTCTGTAATGAAATGAGCACCCACCAGACTCGAACAAAAAAACACAGCAACAGGGAGAGACCGACAGAAACGGACTGAAGGCACACAAATATGCTTGCCGTCCGTGCGAACATGAGGTCGCTCCCTGGGCTCTCTGACTGACTCTGCCGGGATTTTCTTAATAGTCTTAACATTGGGGGTCATTTTTCGAGGGAGTTCCCCTCTGACTCTGCAACTCTCATCCATCACTGAGTTCCTGGCGTCCGGAAGTTTCTCCATGAGGTTTGTCTCTTTTGCTAAGATGCGCCGGCGCTCGAAGAGGTGTGCCTTGGGCAAAGGGATTGATGGATGCTTTGCGTAGCAATGCACTCTTCGTCTTAGTAGAATCGAAACTCCGTTAAGGCCAGCATGTTGCCCCGAAGCAAGGTGCCCATACGTTAGCTGGGAAGTACGTCTCACGACTACAGGACCCGCCACAGTCCGGTGAGTTCTACAGAGAGCCCTGCAGCAGGAACGAGGCGGGGTGGTGTTGAGCCACCGATGCTTGTCACGCATGATCTCGACTTGTCAAGCATCCCGAGCAATTGTCAGAAAGATGGTTGCACGGTGCGGCGCCTGAATTGAGTTCAAGCTCAAACTAGACACGAGAGTGATTAGGGATGAACCTGCGACACCAACCTGCGACACCAGAGCCACGACGACTTCCGGAAACCAAGAAGCCTCTAGACATCAGCACCTTCGGGACTTCAGAGGTACGTGTTTTCAGGGATTCCAGTTTGCCTAAGTTAGGGAATCCAAACCGGACGGACAGCCGATCTCCGCTGTGTCAATCTGGGTGCCAAGAAGGCCTTGACACGCTGCTCCAGCGGCTTGGCTGCCTCAAACCTGCCCGGCTCTTCCTTGCTCCACTACCTCTTAGGGTTTAGGGCTTTTGGGGTTTAGAGTTTAAGGGTTAGGGCTTTTGGGTTTAGAGTTTAGAGTTTAGGGTTTAGGGCTTTTGGGTTTAGAGTTTAGGGTTTAGGATTTCCCAGATTTCAATCAGAAGGGTCTCTCTTTCGCTTCTTCGGGGCATGGCTCGTCTATGCAACTATGGATGGCTTGTCGTCAAGTATTGGACCTAAGCAAAAGGCATAGACCCTCGGGCGATGGGTGCACTTTTGCCCCGTGTACTTGGTCATGGACTATTAGTTTCCATGTTACTGCTGCTGGGGTTCACTGACTCCGGGGTGCCACATTGCTGCAAAGGGCCTACCTTGCTGTCAACATCTTCAGAATCCACCTCCGCCGTAAGGGGTTCTCAAGCACTTGCAACACTGGGGGGTCCTTGGCTGCAAGATTGAACCAATCGAGGCTCGAAAAGAGGATTTAAGTTGAAATTGAGAAAAGGGTGCGAATGAGGTTGGAGGCCTTGTGGGTTGGAGCCGGTAACTACACATTGAGCCCACGATTGCGAGCCTGCTTCCCCGTCCCTGTGCCTATTGAGATACATCCGAACAAAGAACATCTCGTCGTTGAAGCTGCGACCCCGCTCAAAGATCTTGAAGTAGGCCTGCCAGAGCCGTGCAAAAGTCAAAAGCTTTCACCGTACCTGGTAAAGCTGCTGGCGTCACCGCTTAGTGTGGTGTTGGTGCTCGTGCCCAGTGGCGTCGGATCCTTCTATTAGGGAACTCTTTGCTCAGCTACTTTTCGGTTCTCAGCCTGTGTCAACGATGCAACGGATACGGCAAAGGCGGAGAGCGCAAAGAACATGAAGAGCAGCACAAAGATCCGCTCCGGAAAGTTCACCTGAGAAGGCACCAAAATGTTCACCCTGTGTTTGCGCTTGCCGCGATCAGAGCGGCAACAGCAGAATGCATCCGAAGGCATCTTTTTGCCAAGGACGCATGCTTGGAGTCGCAAAAACAATGCAGCCGTCGAACGAGCTCTAAGGCTGTAAGCCGGAAGACGCCCCGAACTCCTGAACCCAACCTTCACAAAATCCCAAGCCCCCAAACACTTAGCTTCCTAGATCAAAGCCAGAAACCTCGGGCCCTTTTTCCTAAAACCCGAAAACATTCATCTCGCCTCTCCGAACATGTAGTTAATGTAGGGAGCCTAACTCTTTAGATCAAAGAGCGAAGGCTTTGGGGTACGTTACGCTAGATTTCTCCAGATTATTCAGACCTGTTTAATTACATATCTATCTATTTATCTGTCTATGTATCTATCTATCTATCTATCTATCTATCTATATATATATACACACATGTATTTATTACTTGTTTGTATGTGCACATAACTTCAGTCATGTGTTTGTTTATTTACTTTGCAGCCGGAGGAGCCGGGGTTACCTCCGCAGGCATCGTCCGCATCACCCCGAGCGTCCAATAAAAGCAAAAGATGTACTGTTCCTCCATCCTTTGCGGTTCAGGGTTGAGGGTGCTTAGAAATTAGAACGAAGTGTGGAGCCTGGGGGCTTTGTCTCTCGTATCCTTGAGTGTGTCGGGCGAGTTGGGATTTGCACACTGCTTTTTCGGCTGCCGGTGAAGCTACGCCCGGCCTTATTCCCGTAACCCCGATACCCCTAAACCCCTAGCACTTATTTTTTTTAAGCACGAACCCTAAACCCTAAACCCTAAACCCCTAGCCCTGAACCTTAAACCCTCAAGCCAGGGATCGAAGCCGTTTAGGGGTTTGGGGTGCTCGGATGTCGGAGCTAGGCTCTTCTCCAACAGGGCCTGAGAATAGGGTTGGTCCTAGACATGGCGCCTTTTCCCCCCGACCGTGCTGTTTTATTGCCTCAAGTTTATGGTCTAAGTTCGCAGAAAGCCGGCTGCGACAGAGTCATGGATAACAAGCTTAGATCTCGTCTGTAACCTCACCTGAATAGGGCTGCCTGTTGCTGAGAAAGTCCTGTCATGGATCCCTGCATCAATCAAGTTTCATTGAAGAAAACACAATTAGCGGTGCGCCCGATAAGCCTGAATAGAAGTGTCTACTCCTATGTTCTGTTCCTACATCCGGATTATAAGCTGTGCCGCAAACTCACAAGCCAAAATCCCATCTGATCTTGGGCCTCAAAGATTGAGAGGGGACTGCAGTGGCGTGTGAACGTGGATCCATGAAGCAGATAGAGGAGGGGTGGGGGAGGTCATCCTTTGGAAGTCGTAGGAACCCCCCCCCCCCTCCCCGGCCGAGCCGGAATCGCCAAATGAGGGAGCGTGTTTAAGGAATATGATGATTCCGAATCGCCAAATGAGGGGGAGTGTTGTGAAGTTAAAGGAAGAACCGGAATGGCCAGATGAGGGAGCGGGTTGGAGATGACAAATGATGAACCGGAATCGCCAGTGAAGGTGGCGTGCTTAAAATGATAGATGATGAACCCGATTTTCAGCTTCTCTGGGTTTTGTGTTAGTTCTTCGTTTTGTTTGCTGTTTAGCTTTTTTTCGGAGTTTCAGACGCCTGGGTGTGTTTTTTGGAGTTCCAAGTTTCAGGGCGTTCAGCCTTGCACACAGTGGGGTTTTAGGGTTGGCGGTGTCGGCGAGGGTTGAGGAGTTTGCCCTTCAGTGCTTGTGGCTGCGAACAATGAACCCCTGCCCTCATTCATACTCCCAACAGAACAAATCGGCCAGGCCTCCCCCGTCCAAACAATGACCCCCCTCCCCCCCAACGAACCCCCCTCCCCCCCTTCCATACTCCGGCAAAAAGAACCCCCCCTCATTCTTGCGAAGGACAAACGACCCCGCCCCCCTCTTCATACTCCGGAAGGACATAGTCCGGGAGAACGAACCCCCGCTAACGGCCCTATCAGCTTTATTGTTACTACAAGCGGATTTCGGGTAGCATTGAGTTAATTATTCTAATATACCTGGTAAGGCCTGCAGAGAATGATATATTTTTCTGATTATTCAGACGCATAGGTTGCGACGGCCAAGTCTCGGTTTCTGCATATAGGTCCAGTCACCTGCCGGTGGCACATCGGCTTAGGGCTACAAGGTTCTACGCTTGAGGCTATGAGGCGTTACCGGCTTGGGGGTGAGGGTTCTGGATTTTTTTTTTTAGGGCTCAGGGTTTAGAGTTTTGGGTTCGCAGACAAGGCTCGACGTGTGCCACGAATACTTTCCTACATTGGGCTCGCAGGTGACCTACTGAACTTCCACCGATGTGAACCCGAACTTTCAGGCAAGGAGGGCATTTAGCCACGAGCTCTGATTTCCAATCCCGGCCCGGTGCCTGAATATGGGCCATCTTTCCTGGGAAGCGTCGTCCAATGGTTCAAACCTGGGTGGAGAAAAGGATGAGGTGCTCGAAGCATGGCAAAGCTCTTTGCGAGCACAGAACACGGTGTACCACGCAAAAGAACCACATGACATGATATAGCCTAGCTAAGACATTGGTGAACCAAAACGCATCGTATATCAAAGCAGTACATACAGCGCGCATAGCCTGGTATATAGCGTCATATACGCCAAGCCTATTGCAACACAGTAAGAACAACTTGCGATGGAAGAAATGTTCTAGATGCTATACAATATTATGTTTTATGTACGTATGTATCACAATAAATAAATTAATAAATAAATAAATAAATAAAAATAAATAAATATATATATATGTATGTATGTATGTATGTATGTATGTATGCATGCACAGAATGGAAGACAACATCATGCACAAGTGCAAACACGCGTACATGCATACATAAGTATACATGCCTTGTCCAACATATTAGAGGTCTGGTCCAGTCAGCCACGACGCCAAGGCAAGAGACTACCAGGAATCCACTCCAACGAGGATCCGCCAAGCCAAGAAGCTACAAAGCTACAAAGCCCGGAAGACAGTTCTGTCCACAGGCAGCGAACTCAAAAACCCACGCCAGAGAGCCGAATAGCAAATATTACGAACCCAAAGTCAGCCAAACACCCCTACACAGATACGGTTGATGGTATAATACATCCTGCAGTACCCAAAATAAGGCATATACCATAATTCCCATAGTTTAGGGTGCTAGCGTCATGCAGGATCTATATCATCAACCAGCAACCTTACCTCATGCTTTGATCTGGAGCTTGGGTCTCTGGTGTGCCAGGGGTGACACGTCAAGCAATGACAAAATCCCAAATCCAAGAGGCTTCGGAAGTTCGCTGCCATCTCAGCAGGCATTATGTCTACCAGAATGCTATCTGTGCTGCCGATGACCTCGGTGAAGTCTTGCGTAAGGGTTTGAACTGTTCTATTGCTCGGAGTGCTGGGGTTGGAGCTAGGAGATGTGCCCCATAGATTGGGGCTGGCAGATTGCATGGTGCTCTCTATGGTTTCAAATAGCAGACTCCATGCCACGTTTAGCTGAAAATATACCCCCCTTTTTTTAACACCCCCGCTAAGTGATAAATAACAGAAACACATTGGGGCGGATCCTCCCGAAGTCATCCCTGCCCTTTAAGCCCTATTCTGAAGCAGGGGGGAGGGTTTCGAGGCGCCACATACCCTTAGAGCACAGTAAGCAAGAGCAGGAGTAAGAGCAAGAGCATGTGCAAAAGCGGGAGCATCAGCAAGAGCAAAGCAAAAGCAGGAGCAAGAGCGAAAGCGGGAGCATCAGCAAGAGCGGGAGCAGGTGCAAGAGACGCAGCAGAAGCAGGAGCAAAAGCCAGCGCGGGAGCGAGAGTCAAAGCAGGAGCAAGAGCACGACCCAACAAAATTGGCAGTAGAAATCAAAATAGCCCCTGATAACAAACACACTTTCCGAGTTTCTTTTGGGGGGTGCCCCCCCTCCCTCCGCAATTGCTCGACATTGTTGTTGAAACCTTTCTGTTTGTGGTCTCTTCTACAACGGTTTCTTGCGGCCTTCCCCTCCTCAAGCAATCGAACCCACAACAAATTTGCGGCTTGCTGGTGACATCGAGAATCTGAAGAATCTACGGCGCAGGTTAAAAATGCAGTGCAAATTCCACAAGGACTATATGACATGCTCTCCAAGCATGAAGCCGTCAGCTCGAGGCGCTGCTGCACGTGCATGATAGACGAAAAACGGCAGAATCAATCCACACATGAAGGAACCCCGGGAGTGCTTAAAGGATAAAGGAAACGAATCCCATGGGAGGCCTTGAAGTGGCCATTAGCTTAGACCTCAAGCCTCGACAAAAAAGCATGCTGCTTCCAATCCTAGACGCCCAAAAGAGGCAAGCATTCCAATGGCACATCGCAATGACAAAGGCAAGGACTTTCATGAGCATGATGCTTTGAATAATCGCAATGGAGCCAATTCGCACCTCGATTCTCTCCCAGACAGCTTTCAGCTTCGACATGCGCAGCATCTTCATAAGCCGCATGATCCGCAAGAATTTGAGCATCTTCAGGAGACGAACGGCACCGGCACCACCGTTATCACCAAAGATGCTTTCTGCCAGTCTCCCATATGGCACTGTGCTGAAGAAGTCAATAGAAAACCAACCCTTCAGATACAGCCACGCTATTCGCTTGCGGGAAAGGATCCACGTCCCCGGACTGTCCTTGCGTTCAATCGCCGTGTTGAATGAAAGCCCTACATCTGTAAAGAAGACAATGGTCGTGACATAGAACCAGACTACGTCAAAGCCATCATCTGGCATGCCGTACTTGAAGGCCAGCTGGAAAGGCAGAATGATGGAGTCCAGAACCACCAAAAACATCACGAAGAAGTCCCACGACATCTTGCTTGTCCAGTTTGGGTTCAACAAGTACTTGTCGAACACCTCGGGAGGCGTTGACTTTCTCCCAAAACCGAAAACAGAGTCGGCGAAAAGTCAGGCAGAGCTTTGAGACTGCAAGAGTCCATGTCAAAAGACCCTACCTGACCGCCCGATTCCCTGAACACCCGGCTGACTAGTACTAGTATTATCATTATTGTTGTTGCTACCTTTGCTACTAATTATTGTGGTTATTATTGCTATTCTTGTCACTCTTATTGAAGTTTATTGCTTCGTAGTGACTGGCCGGACGACAGACTGTGCGGCAATTTAGACACATCGACAGGTATTCCCGAAATCTCGAACTCTTCATACCGCCTGGTTCTGCTCCATCTCATCCAAGTCCGGCATCTTGCTATACGACGTTGTCGGCCGAGCTGACGCTGTTGGGTCATGCTGGCGCCGCTCTGATATGGTGGGCATTACGGCCTGGGCTTGGGGGTCTTTGTGCGTTGCAGGGCTCTCAGGACAAACTCGGGCATGCCATAGAGGCCTTAACGGAGGGAAGCTGCCACGAAATGGCAAACTATTTCAAACCTGAACAGCCTGAGCTGCACTGAAGCGTGCTGCTCTCCCGTTCATGCCAGGTCCACCCTGAACACCTAAAGGCAGAACCCTGTCACTCCAAACTTTAGATCCATCAAATCCTTGAGACTGAAAACCATCGCAGAGTCGCATCCGTTCCTTGCCATCATATCTTAGCCTGAATATTCATCTTCTGTACACTGGAAGTTTATGGCTCTTCACAATTGATGTACCACTGTCCCGGCAAAGTTTCGTGATCAGGATGACTATTATCATCATGGTCGCTCGTAAAACCATTCTTTGCGATGACCTTTCAGAATACGAAAAGCCCTAAACCCAAGCCACTCAGCCCAGCTGCCCCGGCACCCGCGTCGAAGAGGTCGGCGGCGACGTTATTGCCCCCGGAAGGAACCGGCACAACCAGGTTGCCCTGAGGCTCCCGCTCTCCTAGCTGTTTCGGCTCCAGCCTGACAGGGAGTTTATTTAGGGGTTTAGGGTTTAGGGGTTGAGGGGTTTACGGGTTCAGGGGTTTAGCGAGGGTTTTTGCGGTTTTCGACTCTCACACGAGGCTCCTCAGAGTAGGGGCTTAGAATCTTAGGGGCCTTGGGACTTCAGAGGCCTGAACAGGATCATGCTTGGCTGGAAAAGAGTTCAAGGTCCTGAGAATAAGCATCGGCCTAGATAGATCGGCCTAGATAGATAGATAGGTAGGTAGGTAGGCAGGTAGGTGGGTAGATAGGGAGATAGATGATAGACAAAACTAATGTAACGTACAAGCACTGCGCAGAAGAATACGGAGACTGACTGAAAGGCAAGTGTCGCGCAGCGAGCCGAATGCGCGCAGGCGTCACTGCCACATTGGTGGCCCCGAAACCCCAAACAAACCAAACCCCTAAACCCTAAACTGTAAACTCTATGTACGGACGATTTTGTACAATTTCGACTGCAGCTCCGGCATCCAGGAAACGGACCCATGACACTGAAACTACAGCTAGCCTGCAAAAAACAAATCATGCCAGTGGCTTTTCTTTTGTCGGTTCGTTTCGTCCCTGTTACAGTCAGAGTGCCAAGTCGGCTGAACTTTTGTTCGGGACTGATGGCCAACCAAAGGGAATACTATTTAAACCGCAAAAGGGATCACACCAGGCCCCGCGATGTCGGGACTATCATGCCAGACCATGCTATGACATACTCGCGTGCCTACGGTTCCGTAGGTATCGGGGCCCGAACAGCTAAAGTAGGAGTGTCATTGTGTTTTGTAGGGCTACACAAGCTTTGTGGGGCGGGGGGGGGGGTGGGAGGAAACCCGAAGACTGATATCCACTAACTGTTCCGACTATTACACCATATGGTATTCTACTTAGGTTATACTCTATTTTTTCGCATGTTACATATATTTCATTCTGTTATACTGCACTATATTCTATTACACGAGATTAACTTTTTATATGATGATATATTAGAATATATTGATATTGTCTTATATTCGGTTATCTTCTTTTCTGTTAAATTAATATGAAAAGTTATAACCTGGTATAATACATTAACATATTGCAATATTATGTTTGTCATACACGATTTTTCTTGTTTTATTATATATAATGAAATTATTATTATTGTTATTATGATAATTATGATTATTATTGTATTATTAATATTATGATTAATATATACAGATAGATAGTCTTACACTATACTGGCCAGTATATTTTAGCACTATGTTCAACATGCTCCGGTGCAAGCTCGCCTAAGCTCGGGCCGCGGAGGTTCCTCCGACTCCTTGGCAAGGAGAACTCTGGTACAAAAAGTTCGGGCACTCGCACGCAGCAGGCAAGGCTCATGGTTCGGTCTCCACTAGTGGGGTTTAGGGCGTTTAGGGTTTCAGCACTCACTTTTGGACTTGCCTAGGCGAGGTTCCTGGTACTACGAAGCTCTTTGGCTTTCAACGGCATGTGAGCCATCACAACACATTAACAACTAACCTATGGCATCAACCCCTTAAGGGTCTTAAGGCTGTGGGTTTGATGGTTTAGGAGGCTCAGGACTGCTAATTATGAGGCTTGCTACAAAGCTGCTTTTTTTGCAGGCGATTTTTCCGCCTGGGTTCACTGCTTTGCAACAGTTTGGGTGTTTAAGGGTTATTTCGTTAGTTCATGCTCGGGGGTTGAAAAGGTCTGCTGAATTTCGAGAGGGTGGGGGTCTCGGGGCTTTCGCGGTTGAGGCGGCATAATGGGAGTGTTTTGCGCTTCCTGTTGTAAACCCTCGGCCCATTGCTAGGCGAAAGCCCCTCAGGGCGGAGGTAGTTTCCCGATGATCGGAATTACAAGCTTGTGTTTTCTCCAACCCAACATCTCGATACTGAGGCTTCCGGGTGTAACATAAGGGCCATCAAACATTAACCTTTCTTTGGCATCAACCTTTCGAGTAGATTAAGCCTTTTGGGATACGTTCTACTTAGGTTTGGGTGTCAGCGTGTCGGCCGAAACAGCGTGAAAGAAGATGTCGGGATGCGTTCAAGTCGGGATTTAGTCGCAAAACGCTCTGCTACGAGGAATCCGATAGCCAAGTGTTACGAATTTGTTTACGCTCCTTGGGACAAGAGCATCAGTCAAGTTCCACCTTGTGAAGCCCTGCCAAGCTTCAGGTGTCAGTCTTGATCTTGCCTTAATCTACACACCTACTCTGCCCAAAGTCTACCCCTTGACATACTGCATTTAAATCCTAATTATCTTACACCGGCCAAGGCTTGGACATGTGTCGAAGCCCTCTATATATATATTATTTATTTATTTATTTATTTTATTTAATTTAATTTATATTCTCTTGTCTTTGTCACTTTCCGACCCATGCTGAGATCTTAGGATTTAGGATTCCGGGTTTGCCGAGGGCAGACTGGACTCGCAGCAATCGGCGAGCCTTTTACCCCAAGAGATCAAGGAAGCCAGGGTGCTACCGGCAGGGCAGCTTGCAACACTGCTGCCGGCTCCGGGAGGTTGTAAAGATCCTCTGGGGTTTCCTGCAGCGACGAGGGCCCGGAGGCGACGGAGTTTAGTATCTACAAGGCTTAGGGCCTGCTTCGGGGATGAGTCCTCAAATCAGCATAGGATTTCTTCAAAAGGCATCCTGAGCTGAACCTTCCGGGTATGATTTCAAGCTTATGGCCATACACGTACAGTATATGTAGTCTGGTCGTAGAGCACTTCACGTAGACATACGTCGCCTGCAAGCAAGACATGGGAAGGCAGCGTGTCTCTCCTCACCTTTCTCTGAAATCGTGTACCGGTGAGATGAAGGTCGAGGATTTGGGGTTTAGGGCTTTGGCAAATGAGGTTAGGAGACCCAGAAAACAGAATGCACGCGGAATGCTAGTTGAAATCCAATTGGGTTTCGGACGTGCCACACCGGGAAAGACTACTGCTGCTCAACGCTATGCTACGTGCACACGTGTTGTCGAGAAGACGTCGTCAGAGCACAATCATGCAATCCTCAAGCAAGTACCCCGGACCATCCTGCAACGCAACCGGGTCGTTGCTGCGGTACTCTGAGCCACGCCAGTCCGGCACCTCAGGATAGGGTGTAGGTCTACCGATGCGGCTTTTTTGCTTCCACTCAGGAATGTTAAGGTTTGTTTCTTGCTTTGCGCTTTCAGGCAGGTGGAGCTTTGCGTCGGATGGCACCTCTGATCGAATCATTCGGAGCATAGGTTTAAACCGTCACTATCGGAGCAAAGGTTCCATGACAGCAATTGCCATGCGCAGCAGGAAAGCTGGCCAGTTCCTAATGCCAGGACGCTGTGAACCAGACTGTATGTTGAAAGCACCCCCGCCAGTCCAAAGCTTTAACCCCAGAGGAACCCAAAGTTCCGTGGCACGACTCTGAATCTTATCGAAGACATCCAGGCGGACCCATCAACCTCGTTAGTACAGGCCCCCCGAAACCCATAGGCCGCAAAGGCCGCAGACGTCGTCCCCACCCTCTCATGCTCTGACCAGCCACTTCGCGTGCGACCCCACAGAGCCCCGGCTGCCAGCAGCCCGCTACAGACCTCCAACAGACTATGGCCAGGGATCGAAACGGGATGGCTTGCGGCTGTGGGCTGCATGACATGCTGGATCAACATCAAAGTTGGGCCTAAGTATAAGGGTAGCTTCCGAAGCATTCGGTGCTTGAAGGCTTCTAAGTCCTAAGCTTCACAGTTCGGCTTCGGGGCTTCGCGCTTTAGCTTAAAAAGAACCCGAAGATTTCGATGGCATCATCGGCGTTGCTGTGGGGTCTCCAGCCAATGTGAACATATTACTTAATAGAGGGCCCCAAATAAATACCCATGCTGTTCTGGGGGTGCCTTGCTATATGGTATAATATACCCCAAAAACCTCTTCTAAGTATTAAGGCCCCCGAATATCCCTCCGAGCCCTTCAGGCTTCGGACCAGAATCGGGGGGGTTCTGAAAGGGTCAGTCCTTCTGTCTAGGGTCCATAGTACCAACACCACTGTTGATGATATAAGTCCTGCATTACTTTAAGGACCCTAAACTATGGGAGTTGTGGTATATTCCCTGTTATGGGTAATGCAGGGTTTATATTCTCAACCGTATGAATATTACTTAGAGCCCGTACTTTTCTGAAACTCCCAGACGCCGCCTCAACCAGTACAAGAAGGAATCTAAGGTGTACTGTTGATAACTATTCAGACTTCAGACCACTAATATGATAAGCCCGAGGCTTCCCTTTGCAGCGCGCTTGCCCCAAACTTCCTTTTTTTCACCAGGGACTCGACTGCTGCCCTTACTGCCCAGCTTCCTAAACCCCGAAATCCTGAAACCCCTCAGCAGAAGGTCCCTAGCAAGATCGGTGCCTGAACAATTGCTGCGAGCTTTGTAGGGGTTTTCCGTGTAGAGTTGAGAATTTGTAAGGCAAATTTAAATACGAAAGCGCAGACTTAGAAATCCTGTTGTGCGACCTCTACATGGCAATGGAAAACCGTGCCATACCAAACATACATAAAGATACCAGCAAGAATAACAATCATTCACACACAGAGGCAGGTCTTTAGGCTCCCCTTGCAAAAAACCATCCCCTCAAGCCCACCAATAATAATACAAAATCGGCCAAAAGCCTACCAAGCAAACTGCGTTCCGAAGGCCCAAGCGCCGGGCCTGTCCGTTTGGACGACCTCCGGGGGCGCACCCTGGACCGGAGAAAGGGCGTCCCAGAACAGCATTTTTGGTTTTGGGAGGGTAACCCTAAACCCTAAAGCGCACCTTTTCTGGCATTTGGGCTTCTGGGGTCGGCTTTTCCAAGGTTTCGAGCTTTTGCAGCTTAAGGCACGTAATCGTCAAGGAGAAGCTTTGCAGTTCGGAATCACACTTAAAGGTACTTAGGGTGCCAGGCACAATCTCTTGCGAGACAGGTCATGTCGCTGGCTCGGGTCTTCTGCTGTTGGGTCGAACGATAATTCAAAATACGGTCTTGTCATGGGCATGGGTGCAAGCGCATAAGTCTATGTGCACGTGCAAGCTACGACGGCATGTACACAAGTACATTCGTACAAACCACACGTTCGTAAATAAGCATGTTGTGCTATGCCTCGTTGTGCACACGTGGCGTGTGTGTATGTCCGCATGCGCATGATTGCATGTGCAGATGACATGGCATATATCATATATCGACGCAAAGCTGCGGTCTCTAGCGGCCCGCGCTTACGCAGTCAGATCTTGAACTTCATAAACCGGCAGACCGTGTGACCTTGCAGTGTTGTACACCCAAACATGGTACTCGGGAATACAGTGTAAACTGGACTGGCGATTGCCTTCAACAAACAAACTCACTGCAACCTGGATCTGCGGTGTGCCCAAACCTCCTGCTCCGCTCAACCGGCACTAACACATATGTCATACATCTATGTATCTGTATCTGTACGTGTACACACCAAAGAGCCCTACACGCATGTGGACATACAACATACTCGGCTATTCACAAGCATACAAGAAGTGCCCACATGGTGCATACAGGCTCCCAGCAGACTGCGCTTTTTCTATGCTGATCTACTTCCCACACACTCAACCCACATGAACTATGAATAGAGTCGTTGGCATGTTAGTTTGCCAAGCTGCCTCTGGACCTGTAAGCTGCAGAACTTTTCGGCTCCGACCCGATTGGCCTGCTCGAAGCATCGGATTAGATTAAGCTTTGGGCTTGACGAGTAGGGCATGGTCTTAGGGTTTGGAAAGTCCTGTTTCAAGCAACTGAACGAAAAACACAGAAAAACATCGAAAGGGTGAATCACGCCTTTTCTGAAACGGCATGCAATAGTACACAGCTCCACATTTAAAACGCTTTGGCAGCACACTGTGGTTTGGAGGTGTATGGGAGCCAACTTTCAGTTTCTGTGTAAAGGTGGTACATCGTAGCAGGCATAGTTCAAAAACCTACTGTTCCTCTCGCTGGTACCACGAGTACGGTGTGCACCGTTTATGTTATTAAAGCAGGCTAAATAGTGCTAGAAATAGCAGTTGCAGACTAATCGTAGCCGTAGTAGCCGTAGTAGTACGTAGCAGCAGCAATAGCCGTAGCAGCAGTAGTAGAAGTAGAAGTAGGAGTACGAGAAGGAGGAGTAGTAGTAGTAGCAGCAGCAGCAGCAGGCGCCAGCATGCTCCCGTGCACCCCCCAACATAATAACATGTTTGCTTGTGGGCGGTGACGACCCGGTTCGATGACTGCTAGGACTGCTGCTGCTGCTAGTACCACCACCAGCACTGTTCGCCGTGGCGGTCGTGGTAGTGGCAGCGACAGTTGTAGTGGCAGCAGCAGCAGAAGCAGGCGCAATCTATCCAAATCTAGCACAGCGCAATCCAACATCATCCTGGATACGCGCGCGAGTGAATAGACAACAAAGAGGGATACATTTTATCTCTCTAACTATTTGTCTACTCATTTGTTATTCGATTTTCATTTGATGAATTCGACTGTTTATCTACCTGCTTATTTAGTTAAGCTCTCACAACTCGGACTTGCCAAATGAGGTCTCTCGCAATGCAGATGCATGTATTTATGTACTTGTTTATAAGTATACCAGTATGCAATGTATGCTTCTGAAAACGCGGTTATCATTCCGATTAGAATAACTTATTCGTGTTACACGCATTCTCGCACAACAAGGATCCGATAACGACAAGTGAATGGATGGAAGGAGCCGAGGCTACAGTGTAAGCAGAGTCCGACGTGACTACCTGCTGTAGAGCTACCAGTTCGAGCTACATATGCCTGCCCTATGTACACAATGGAACCTTCGGGATAGAGTTTCGGGTTTAGGGTTGAGAGTTTTGTGTCTTTTGCGGGACCGTTTCCAACCGCTGAGTCTGTGGCGGTTGGAGTCACAACACTAATACATCCCAACCCAACACCAACCGCCACTGTCGTGGTGCAAAGCAGCCCGGTGACGTGATCAATCTCAGTAGTGGCAACCTCATGATCTGCCTGTCTCGCCCGCATCAGAAAGCTTCATGAACAATGAAACAGATTTTTCCCAGGGTTTAGAGTTCCTTCCGATAGGGTCGAAGTTGCTCCAAGTGGCCTGCAGCCGACCGCTCAATCCTCAGTCGCAGAGCTGGAGCATTCTGGATGTGGAAGCTCTCCTTTCTCGCTCTACATATGTGTATGTATGTATGTATGCATGCATGCATGTATGTATGATATTATATATATATATGCATATGTGTATATATATATGTTGTATATACAAGTTATATTATACATACATACTTGCTTACATCGGCCTGCAGTCGAGGCTCTCTTTCTGCAGCTGACCAACATTCTCCCTCAAGATGTTGGTTGCACTGCCTCGGGTGGCCAGGAATTGGTGGCAGGCTTGAGGGAGTTGCAGCCAAACCTCTCGATTCCAAATTCTGGGTGATGGCAGTCCGGTCGTCTGAATTAAGCACCCGTTACCTTCAAAAAAGCTTCAGACAGAATATGAACTCCCGCTCAGCCCACAACCGCAGGCAACTGACAGTGTCACACACTGCTACTCCAAGACTCGGGGAACTTTCTGAGTAAGGCTAAAACATGGTACAGTAGACAGCCACTCCTAGAATTACTGAAATCCCAGACTCAGGAACAAAAACCCCATTCTACGCCCGATAATCCCGTAAGCAGGGTCTCAGAAACTCAGAGCTTCGGGTCGTGGGGCACATGTGGGGCCTGTGTTGTTTTTTTTTTTTTTGGGGG